AGCTCTCTCTGTCCTCAACCCCCCTTCTTCCCCTTCGGGGAGGGGTTTACCCCTCCCCCTACCCCCTCCCCCTGGACCTGGATCGGGAGTCCCGAGCGTGGTCAGGGGAGTCTTTTTCGACGCCTGGGAGGGCCAAAAAACGACGGCCCTCACTAGGATTCTGGCCCCGAGGGGGGGGGGACCGTTTGGCGCCTCCGCTCGTCTTTGAAGCAAAAAACATTGATTGTACTACGGTGTTGGCCCCATTTTGGCCTTCTGAGGGGGCCGCGCTCCTCTTCCTTCCTAGCAAAATCATTGGTTTTACAAGGTTTTGGGCTCATTTTGTACTTTTTCAGGGGGCCGCTCTCATTGGCGCTTCTGAGGAGGTCGCAAGAGGTCCCAAGATGGCCCCAAGAGGCCCCTAGGAGGCTCCCAAGAGGCCTCCAAGAGGCCTCCCGGAGGCTCCTCAGCGGCCCCAAGAGGCCCCCAAGAGGCCCCTAAGAGGCCCCCAAGAGGCCTCAAGAGGCTCCCAGAGGCCCCCAAGAGGCTCCCCAGAGGCCCCCACGAGGCCCCCAAGAGGCCCCAAGAGGCTCCAAGAGGCCCCCAAGAGGCCCCACGAGGAGCCCGAACGACTCACACCAGGACGAGGGGCCCGAACGACTCACACCACGAAGAGCCCGAACGACTCACACCACAAGGAGGGGCCCGAACGACTCACACCAGGACGAGGCGCCCGAACGACTCACACCACGAGGAGCCCGAACGACTCACACCACGACGCGGGCCCCGAACGACTCACACCACGAGGAGCCCGAACGAGCCACACCAGGAGGAGGGGCCCGAACGACTCACACCAGGATGAGGGGCCCGAACAACTCACACCACGAGAAGCCCGAACGACTCACACCAGGACGAAGAGCCCGAACGACTCACACCACGAAGAGCCCGAACGACTCACACCAGGAAGAAGGGCCCGAACGACTCACACCAGGACGAGAAACCCCAAACGACTCAAATCAAGAGGAGCGCTTTCTCTCCCTCCTCCTCCGCCTCGTCCTTCTCCCGCTCCCCCCAGAAGGAGGATGTACAAGGAGGCGGGAGGAAGGAGGAACAGGGGAGATATGCGGGGCCAAGCGGACACACGCCTGAAAAACACGACTGTCGGCATGCT